GAATTTAATCGAGTTTAAGATAAATGGTTGAAAATTACTTTTTCTTTACACGACGATATCTCGGGAACCGGAAGTCGTATCGAGATAAATCGAAAAGCGTTTTGAAGAGCAAGGTTTCGCGCTTCTAACGATCTTTCGTTTATTAATAGAGAATCGTTATCTTTAGAATTATAGCGGTTTAAATTTTTTCTAATTTGAATAGACGATTTAACCAAGTTTTAAAAAACTTATATTCGAATATGAATAAATTAATTGTTTTAAATTGGAATCGATATGAATAGCGCTATGATTTTTAAGGTGATGTTTAAATATCTTTCGAATTAAAATTGCGTATCAGTTAGAAATATAGGATCGTTAAATTAGCGTATTCATTTCTCTATCGAATTAATTATTTATTTCGAATTCATTTGCACAGGTTAGGCATGTCGCACGACGTAAAAGAGGAAAATGGCTGTTCGGGCATAATTCGTCACGACGAAAATTACATCGAAACGACGGTGATGCATCCTGGCAACTTGTATATCACGAGAAAGTGGTCCGAGTGTTCGAAGGACTCGCTGAAATTGTACATCGAGTAAGAAACCGCGTTTCGCGCCAACAAAAATTTGTCAAATCGATTTCAGTTTGCTTTCCATTCATTTTAAAGTAGTGGCAGAGAAACTTCGTCGAACCGAGAAATCGGTTCAAAATTCTGTGCACGATGAAATTGGATTTCCACTACTAGTGCTACTTTTATATTTCGCTATTCCCTTAATGTTTTGCACAATGTTAAAGAGAAACGTGCAAACAAATGTCTCACTCATGTTGTCAAAAATATATATAAAAAAAAAAATACAAAATCACATAGAAATTAAAGATAATTATTCATTCGTAGAGCAGATTTAGGATTCTGCTTGGAGGACAAGCAGCAAAATTACGAGTTCCCCAGCACGGAACTTCTTCCAGGAGTGATGTACAACGCGGATGACCAGTGTCGAATAGAGTACGGTCTCGAGGCACGCCACTGCGATCTGGAAGTGGTAAAGGAACAAATTTAATTAAATGTTTAATAATTTTTCTTTCTTCTTTTTACTCACCCTCCATTTCTCCTCCAATTTTTTTTTTTTTTTCAAGCCACCATATCGCATTACTCTGCCGCCTTATTTTCCACGTTACATTATGCGCCTGTGAGAGGAACTCCCATATTCTTTATATCTCCGCCATATTTCATTGGCGGATCCAGGAAAAAATATATGCAAGCTGCTATACCGTCTGCTCTTCCTAGATCATAAGATCTCTCACGTCTCCTCCCTCCATCCATTATTATTCAATTTTAATTTTAATTCGCGTCCTCGAAGAACATTCGACGAATAATTTCCAAGAAACTGTTCTTTAAAATCTCGTTCAATTTGTCGATTAATTAATCCAATTCAGGATCGTCCACCGATCGTCATCATTCCGTGATCGATGTTTTCATAAGTGTTCGACCATTGCATCCGGGCGCCGGATTAATTTAACGAGAGAAAGAGCGCCGTTCCAACAGTCTCATTATTTCGTCATTCGAAATCATTGATGATGGGCCAAACACGAGGCGGGCCCCAATTGTAATTTTATAATTAAACGCGAAAACATAGGTGGAGGAGGAGGCAGTCGAGGATGGTTGACACGCGTTACGTTAACGAACTTACGAACGAAAATTCACCCGTGTTGCGGGTTCACCACGCTCGTTTATTTATCGAACGGGCATTGTTTTCCATCCGCGCAGCAATAAACGCGTTAACGTCCCTTGTTGTTGTCCTTTGATATTTACACGCACGCGCGAACAACGTGGAAAGAACAAAGATTACGTTTTTTCCCCCACCTCTTCGTTCTCCTCCTCCTCCTCCTCCTCCTCCTCCCCCCCTCTTCGCGCCCCAAGCACAAAAGAAAGTGTTAATTGCGTGAACCGTTTGGTCACAATGTGGTTCCACGTTGTTCCCGTTGTCAAGTTGTTATATTTATGAAAGAAGAAAATTACTTGTGAAATTCTGGTGTATAGCGAGTTTGCACACTTTTCTTGCTCGAACTTTTCATTTTCTCCCCGATTCAGAGTGAACAGGGTTTGTAATGTATTTTGTTTTCGTCTAACAATGGTTTCGAGAGATGATTTTGATCTGGAATAATTTTTTGTTGATTTGTTTCTCTGAGAAAATTTGATTGGAATTATGTGCAATTTATTTTATATTGTCGTATGAAAATGTAGAAATGTATTTGAAAATTAATCCCTTGATCAAGAATTGTTTAGAAGTTTTTGAAAAACTTTAGATAAGTTAAGTTTAACTTTCAAACGCTTGCCTGGAAAGTTTGAAAATTTTTGGATTCTTTCTCTCTTTGCACATTTCTTTCTAATATACAAATAACTTGGATTTATTCAATCTAATCTTAAATATCTTATCTTCTTTCTCATTCACCATTTGGAATTGCCCGATTTAAAACAATGAAATAAAAAATTCTGCATTTAATACAACGCGATATCAAGTATTGCAGAGGTAAATGTTCGAATTCTATGAAATTACATGTTGAATTTGATTTAGATTTACGATTTAAGTTTATATCAAACCTGATCTCATTACTAGATGCAATAATGTCACGAAGTTATCTTTAACAATCAATTTCCCGCAACTAGAATTCTAAATTAACATTTCTATGAAGATACGCGATTTAAATTTACATAAACGTTCGCAATCTACTCGTAAGAAAATTGAAAAAAAAGCACCAATAATTCATCAAAATACTCACCTTCGTGTATTTGATATTTTTCGATCTTAATCATCGTATGATGTAAGCTATAAGTAGCATTTGAAGATAAAATTTTCGAAAATCGCTCTCATCTTTCCAAATAACTAAAATTTTCCAACGCTATTATTATATAAAAACTTGTCTTGAAACTTGTTCCTGATATGTAATTTTCACTAGAATTTTCAATAGAAACATTACATTGTGAAGAATAAGTATCCATGTATGATTTTCACTAAAGATATTTGAATTTGAGAATAAAAACTCTCGAGATTATTTTCTTCAAACAAAAACAACATTAGGAAATAAATTATCCAATGATAATTTCCATTCTGAATGTTACTTTCAAGCGTCTACTTTCAACGTAATACAAATCGAGTCACAAAAGTTTCACTTGGCAAATGCATTCTCATCCTTATTATTAACGAGATAAACCACGACAGATGCCACCCGTGAAGAGGCTCCATCTGTCGTCCGCCACGGCAAGCTTTTACCTCGTGCGCGCGGCCTGCCTTATCCTTTTAGGAAAACACACACACATACACGTACACACATACGTACATACGATCGTGAATCGTCGAGATAAGCACGGCACAACGGTGGTTGGCTATCGTTGCGCGATATCGCGATCGACACGAAAACCATCTGCACCCTGACCGATACGATTGCGTTACATTTTCAGAAGTGCGAGAGCCTGAGGTGCGCCATTCCGGGAAAGGGTTGCGTGTCTACGATGGAACCAGTGGCTGACGGCACACGCTGCGGGGAGAACAGGGTAAATTATTGCCTGGAAGTAAGCGAAGGGAATTAGCGGAGTATCCTCGCCTCTGATCTTTCATTTTTGTTCGCGGCTAATGGAAATTGCGAGAGAGGACAAAGGGATTTTGATCGAAATGGCGGAAATGGTTCGCCCTTTCGTGCAATCGTGTCGTTATATGGATTAACGTTTTTTTTTTTTTTTAGGGTATGAAGCTACATTCATTTGGGCAAAGTATTTCGTTATCTTAGGTGAAAAAGATGGTTTCTTTTTTTTTACATTTTGTTACGAACGTGTAATATTTATCGTTTTTTTTTTTTTCTACGTATTTTATCACGTATACGTATTGTATACACAAATTCAAATCTCGATCTTCTGTCCACCGCGCGATGCGAAAGAAGAGATAAAAATATTTTCACGAGACGCATCCCCTTTTACATCCCTCTTTTTTTTCTCGAATCAAATTACCTGCTTCGAGAGAAGGAATAAATACTTTTACAAATTATACACCGTAATTATACACCGGAAAAGTATTCGTCTTCAAACCCGTATATTCCGTATATCTATATTAAGCTGTATTAACGAACGCAATTTACATATCTGGATCGCTCGAATCTTTTCTTTTTTTTTTCAAGTAATGGCCGATATAAGAGGGTTAACGATCCGAGACATCGAGGGAGGGGGGTTAAACGCAAGCTTTTGTTCCTTGCGCGACAATATTCGTTGCGTGGGTGCACCGCGTCGCGCGAAGAATTATACGTTTCTGTGTTGGAATGATACATATTGTTTAGATATGCGATAATCCCCTATAAATACGTCAGCAAAAGGTTTTAACGGCGCGACTTTTGCAAGAAACAGGTCTAGTAGGATCCCAGGCGGTAAAACCGTTTCGGATAAAATTCTCTCTCCCTCTCTCTCTCTCTCTCTCTTTGAATCTCTGGGCCCGTTTGAATCTCAATGCAAATACGATTAAGACATTGTGCTCGCCGTTTTTTTCACCTAATCACGCTCTTGTTAACTTGTGTGCAAGCCAGACTGTTCTTCATCGAACATGCCGTGCTTGTTGCATCGATCGAAGAGTAATTAAAACTCTCGAGGTATATACAAAATCGAGGTGCGTGTCTTCGAGGGGAAATGAGATTGGGAAGGAGGGGGAGAGGGAATATTATAAGGAGTTTAAAATCGTTTTTTTTTCTTGATTTTCTTTTGTTCGATCGATTTCACGATACGGTTATTTTTCTTTTTTCTTTTTTACGAACCAAGCGTTCAACAGCGGTTCTCAAACCGTGGATCGAGAAAAATGTTTCTCACGAGGATTCTATTTTATTTCTAGTTTTTTTTTTTTTAAGATATCACTTGGTCAACTTCTTATACGCGATTCTAGATTTGTAAATTACGAATCGTTCAAATATTCAACACGATCACGTATGTGCTTCGTATAATTATCAAGTGCTTTCCTCTTTTCTTTCCAAATTTAAGATTTTGTTACATAAATCAGATACAAGATCAACCAATTGTTCCAGTCGGATAGATTGTCTGGGTCGAACAATTCCTCCGACTCACCGTCGTCGAACTTTCTCGATGCACGTGAACGATCGTCGTCTTCCAAATTAAAATTTCCGGCTTTAAATCTTTGCTACCACTTTTCGCACGTTTCAACATCTTCGACAGCCGATTTTCTCTTTCTTTGGAACGCAAAAAGGAAGCAGCGACACGAACGATGCTTCTCGCACGCCATATTGTTGCATAGAACTGGAAACTCTTGAAGCGCTCGTCGCGACTCTTCTTGAAAACAAAAGAACGCTCTTTCAGATGGCGCCACGAACAAAGCAAAGTATTTCGAATTCGGTCAGAAGTCACGATCACGATCAGGTAGAAGAAAAAGGGAAGAAAGTTATTCCCACACCTGATGAAAATTATTGCTCGAATAGTTTAAGGGGATTAACGCGTTGTGATGTCGAATATTCCAGAATAAATATCGTACGAAAAAGATCGTACAGGTGGGACGTTTGACACAACAAATGGTTGGATAATTATTTCCGTCGGATGTATAATGTTGGGAAAATTTAGCGGTAACCGTCAAGTTTCAGAAGCTTGCTAGATTCAATAACTATGCAAATTTCACCGCTATATTTGACTTCGGATGATACATGATGTTGGAGAGCCGTGCGAAAGTTTGCGTTGAGGGAGGAGGAGGGGGAGGAGGAGGAGTAGGGAGAAGGAGGGGACACGTTTCACAGTTCATAATGCGTTAATACTCGTTCCCCAAAGGATCCTCAAAGGTATCCTCGGTGATGGCGCGCACCAACGCGGTGTCTCTGAAATCCTGTGCTGTAAACGAAAAGAAAAAGGAAAAGGTCGTGCTTGTCGTGAAAGATAAATCAACTTGTAAAATAATACATCTTTTGCGCCCGTTCCCCGGGAAAATCGAGTTACACAACGAAGATAAATGTTGAAGGGACGGGCTAAGATAGATGTTTGGAACGCGCTGGAAATACTTGAAATGATTTAATCGAGATATCGGGTTAGATATCAATTTCGAGACGGATGATAAAATTATTGCGGTATATAGATGTTAAAAGTCGTTAACGTCGATCCAGAATTTCGTTTCGTTTTTTACGTTCGTAAAATTTGAAAAGAATCATCGAGGGGGAAGAATTAAACATAAAGAAAGGAAAAGTTTTCTACGTTTCTTTCATTCTCCGTTTTCTATCTGTAAGGAAAATATTTCTATTTTCTTTGGTTGTGTCAGGTGTTGATTAAAAAACGTTTAAAAAATTCGAAACGAAAGGATATCCTTTCGTATCATGTAAACTATGTACAACTTCAGTGTAAATTTAATCTTCTTTCATCGAAAAATCAGAAATCCAACTTGGAAATTCGTTCCTTCATGGTTTTTTCGATCATCTTCGATTAATGTTAAATATCCACGTTTATTTCAACTTCGTTCAATTTTATTAAATCTCATTTGCTCCTCCGATCGAACGGAGCTCGAACAAAGTCGGAGGAATTCAAACGTTGCTTCTTCTTTTTCTTTTTTTTCTTGTCAAAGATTGCGTTCCAAGGACGAAGAATGCCTGTGACGTTGTTGTTCGAGATTATTCGAGGCTTTGCAAAGGAGGAGGGGGGAGGCAAGTTGGTCGATGGAAACTGATAACAAACTCGACGCCACAACACGTTCGAACTTGAGAAAATTATTTCTTTTTTTCTCGATTTTGAGCGGAGATTTTAATTTTTGGAGGACAAATACTACTTTTTATTTATTGTTTTTTAAGAAATGCAAAAACTAAATGCATTTAATTAGTACAGAATAAAAATGAGAATACATAATCGATGTATAAAAAATATATATAGAAATATTGAGAGATTAGGAAGGAATAAAAAAAATTGCCAACTAAAGTTGGAAATATAATATAAGATAATTTAAAATTGATCCATAAATATTGGGTAGATTGGGATAGAAAAATCCGTTAGATGGCGAGAAAATTAATTTTAATATAACCAAATATGGCGGTAAAAAAGAGTAGAAACAGTTTCTACTTTTCGCATATCCAACTCTTCTCTCGCGTGGAATAAAAAATCATTGCGAATTCCTAAAACGAAGCAATCACTTAACTTTAAGCTTAATTTAAATTAAAATACATGTTTCGAGATGACATATCTCGTTATTGAAATTGAAATTATCGAATTATTTATGTTATACGTCGAAACAATTGTTCCTTGTAAATTTGAAATTGAATTTTCTCCATTTAATACATTATTCCAACCACTGTGACTTCCTTCTTTTTTCGAGGCTTTTCGAAAACCTGCCTCCCAACAGATCGGGCGGACGAACGAGTTTATAATTATTCGCAAAGAGCGAACGAATCATCTTTCTTCCGTTTTATCACGTATTCGTGCGGCCTCTCCTATCATCGATTATATCGAAAATTATATTTTAACAGCCGTCACGTCTCGTCGCGTAGAGAATCGTGATCGCGCGACCGCGAATGCTATCGATTTTTTTTTTCTTTTAATTTAAACATCTTTCTTTCTCGTATCGTTCTCCAGATCTCTTTTTATTTTTCTCGAAATTTTTAAGGGGCTGCGCTCAGTTCAGGAATCGTTTTGTGGAATAGGAAACTCAATTTGTGATTTGAGTTAAACGATGTTTGTCACAGTTGGACGGATTTTGTAAAAAAAAAAAAAGGAAAAAAATTCGAAAACGTTAAAAACGCTAAACTGCGACTTATTTTTCGACCGTTTCAATTCCGATTGCAGGGAGAAATTGACTCTCCAAAAATTGATGAAAGATAACGAGCTTTTCGAAAATAAAATATCGAGATAAAAATTGCTTCTCGTTTAACGTTCCTACATACTCCTTTCTTGTTTCCAACAATCTTTATCTCTTCTTCGAAAATTAAATATTGGGAAAAACAAAATTGTGATGAGATACACTTATCGAAAGTTTACTCTTTCCTCCCTGGAGAAAAAATAATTTTCCTCTGAAATTATATATTCGAAAAAGGAGGAGTGTTAAAAATATAAAATCATTTTCCAAAAAAATCTTTCTCCATCCTTAAAATAATAAAATATTTAAAAATATTTAAAATCGAACTTCCTCCTCTTTCCTTGCTCCCTTCGTTTCAATAATTCGTTCGAAAAATAATTCTTTCCTTCCCCTAAAATCGAAAATTCGTCTCGAAAGATTCGCGTGACACAACAGGTTTTTACATCCTGGTCACATCGGGGAAAAAGAGACGGTCGTTCGAAATTTCCATAATGCAACGATAAGAGGAACCGAGAAAGGGAGAGAGAGAGAGAGAGAGAGAGAAATAGATAGAGGAGCGCGATAGACGGATAGATGGCGCGTGACGCGACTAATTGAAAGAACGGGAAGAGGCCGGGATTGATCGATAATCAACTTTGCAGTGGTGTTACGGGATGAAATGCCTGCTGGTCGGGGAACGACCTGGTGTCGTGGACGGTGGTTGGAGCAATTGGTCACCTTGGAGTCGATGCTCCCGTACCTGCGGTTCCGGCGTCACACTCTCGGTCAGGCGATGCGTCAATCCTGTCCCATCCGATGGTGGCGCTTTCTGCAGGGGCGACAGGAAACGTCACAAAATATGCGCCACTGAGGTTAGTGCTCTCCCCTCCCCAGAAATCTTGTTAAGAGTCGGCCAGAAATTGAATTAAGGTAGGGGAAACGTTAGATTTTTGTCGTGCGAACGAGTGAAAGATGAATGTTTGGTTATGGATGATCGAACGGTGATCGATGATTTTTTGGCCGAGACCATCGTGCGAGATGGAAAGAGACGAGAGTGGGGCGTGAATAATTGTGATTATGGTGGCAAAATTGGTGGCATGTCGAACCGTGAGTGATCGAAATAATATTAAACTCGAAGATGAATGTTGGTTATGTATACGATTATTAAGCGTATACATTTTTCGTCCATCTTTTTATTTATATAATTGATCCTGTATAATCGTTTGCTAAACTGTTCGTACGGGAAGCGTTATTTCGATATTTCGTGTCGTGAACGATGAGAGAAAGATGAATGTTTGGTTATGGATGATCGAGCGGTGATCGATGATTTTTTGGCCGAGGAATCGTGCGAGATGGAAAGAGACGAGAGTGAATAATTGTGATTAAAATTGGTGGTGTATCGAATGGTGAGTGATCGATATGCGAAATAATATTAAACTCGAAGACGAATATGTACACGATTATTGGGTGATTGAAAAGTGATTCGATGATAATTTTATCCGGGCAAGAAAGTTTCGCGGAAAACTAGTGCGAGTATTACACTGTTTGTTTAAAACAGTAACGAAAGGAAACATTAATCGTGAACGGAATAATTTTTGCACGCCAAACAAACGATATGTTATTATCCGGCAAACTTTCGCCGCAGATGTTCTTCGTCTCATTTATTCAATTTGACGTTGCGAGGAGGGAATAAATCTCTATTACGCTTTCGTTGATCCCACGGCGAATTAACTAGTCTAGGGAGCTAGTTTAGAATGATGATGTTGATAAGAGAAGGAGACGACTCTTCCTACCTTCTCCGTCAATTAAACGCTGGATAATTCGCGTTTTCAAACATCTCTCTCGTCGCGAAATCTTCCACGATCAAAATTAAAATCGGAAAAAACGATTCGTTATTCGAATTTCGCGCGCAAATAGGACGAGGTGAGTTTTCTATCGTTGGCCATGAAATTTTCAATCGCATCAGGTAATTACTTTTCACTACTTTTGCGGAAATTGGAAATTGGGTTATCCCGCCACGAGTGTTCTCGTTAAAAGTTTTCTTCGATTTCGCAGCCGTGCGACGTGGAAGCCCCCTCGTTCCGCGATGTCCAGTGCAGCGGGTACAACAACTGGGTCTTCCCAGAAGACGGGAAACTTCACCAATGGTCCGAGTACAAGCTGCCCGAGGGTAACTAGCTGGCCAACTATTCACCTTATTTAGCTATAGAAAGTGGAAAATGGGAACCTCTCATAAATTTAGATATACATATATTTGTTTAAATTTAAAGCTTCTGTTCAATTTCCAAATAGATTATTTCTTAAGTCATCACTTTTATTTTTGCAATAGTCGAGCGTTTTTAAACATTTCTCCTCTTATGGACAAAAGTTGAGAAAGAAACAGTTTTTTCACGTGAATTCTTCGATCGTTCGTGTTAAAGATAATAATATTTTCACTGAAATAAAGGAAACATGTTACAAGAATCATATTCGAAAGAAGAATAATTTAAATGTAAAAATGTAAAAATGCATAAACATTTAGAATCTTTTTTTTTCACTTATTTTATCTTTCACACGAAAAAATCAATATCCAGTTCACAAACCTTCCTTCGATTTTTAATGCTCTCTCAAATATATTATAAAAGATTTTCATACACAAGAGAAATACCCAATTCGAACAAGTTATTTTTTTTTTTTTTTGGAAATTTACCTCGCCAATTTTTCGCCATTGTTGCAATAAAACTTGAACACGAATCATGATGGCCCCAGATCTGAGAATATCGGAGAACCCGTGCACGCTTTACTGCGTGAACGAGAAGAACGTGGTCGCCTCTCTGAGCCCAAGGGTCGTGGACGGCACCACGTGCTACAGGGGCATACGGGACATCTGCATCGGCGGCACATGCCGCGAGATACCCTGCGATCTCAACATGGAGTCGAACGCCGTGGAGGACGCGTGCGGCGTGTGCAAGGGTAATGGGACCTCGTGCAGCCTGAAGGGAGACACGATAACGATCGTGCAAGCGGCCCGTGAGTTCGATTTCCATTTTTCTTTCTTTTTTTCTTTTTTTTTTTTTTTTGACTGAAATTTTTGCGTTTATTTCGAAATACCGTGCCTTTATGCTGTTGTCGTCGTCTTGTTGCACAGCTATGCGCGTTTTATTACGTCGTCGTACGAGCATTCTTTCGAAAGTGGTTTTGCTCGAAGCGACTGGTTGTCGAAATACGTCCTGTCCTTGCTTTTACCCGTGTTTTCCTAGATGATTTTTATAGGATGGGAAGGAAATATTTTTGTTTCGTAAGTGGAAATATTTCTCATTCACTCTTGTTAATATGCGTTGTTTAATTTTATATTCTTACTTTCTTTAATAATTCTAAGGTGCTTTCGTCGCTCGAAAAAATTGTTTTCACTCACAATTTTCCAAAGGATCGAAGAATTTTTCTATGTTTCGTACGACACGATTTATCCTCAAATTACAGTTGAACGAGAAATGAGATTAATTTAATCTCGCCTTGAATTAATAATTTGATCTCTAATCTATCCAAAGGATCGATTGAAATTAATCGAAGCGTAAAAATTTTCGATCCAAAATCATCGAAGAAATAAACGAATATAATTTAACGGTTTCGGTCGATAAAATCGATAAAAAAGGTCGGGAGAAATATTTTCGAAAGAAGATTCGCGATAAATAAAGCAGAACAGATTGAAATTCCGCGCGGATAAAGGCACTAGATCGCGCGAAAGCGGGAGAAATATTTCTCGAGGAATCCTCTCGATTTTCTACGCCCATGCGATACGATATATATATATATATATATATCGAATAAATTGAGCGCTCGCGAATCGAGCGCCCTCTGCAAAACTTCTAACACTAGGCGAAAAACTTTTCTCCAATGGCAGGCCCGACGAAGTTGCTCGAGATACCTGTCGACGCGACCAACATCCGTGTGGAGGAGTTGGAGCCCTCGAAATCCAGGATAATGGTGTGGAGCAAGGACGAGAAGCCGTTAATTCATGGGTAAATCGACTTTTCTTCGAGTTAGATCAATTGAACACTTCGATTCTTGCAAAGTTTTTATTTTGTGTCTTCTGTTTCCATTACTTTTGGAACGTTTTAATCGTTGCGGTGTCACGTGACGTTATTAACCTCGTCTTAAATAGATAAGATAATATTGTTTGTAAATATACATGGTTTGTAATTTTTCAATCGATTCGTAATTTTTTTTCTTCAATTACAAAAGAATCGAAACAGAAATATACAAATAACTTTGATATATAATAAATTTATAATTGTAGAACTTGTTTCGCAATGTATTTACTCGATACGTGTTCGACTTTAAGCACATAGTTATTCCTGAAACAACGTGAATGATTAAATGTCTGGTTCCAGAATACTCTTGAACTTTGTGCATTACATACGTAACGTGATTTGAAACTTGTTCACAAAAATTTATAACGAAGGCTCGAAGAATATGAAAAAATATAGCTCGATTAGCATTATCTCTCTTACTTTCAATCGTGGCGCGAAATTTCGAACGAAACAAAACAAAACGTACACCGAAACTACATTATCTCCTGATTGTTTCAGGGATCGTTTAGGATTGTTCGAGGTGGCTGGCATAAAGGCGTGGTTAGGGGCGATAAGATTGAACCAGGAGACTCTCGTCATACCAGGACCCATCGTCGAGGAGTTGATTGTAATGGTAAACATAACGAAAGCGCCCCGCTAATTAGCCAGGCTGGACAGATCGATAAGGGGATATCTCGAACGAGGTGTCCAGGGCTCGGACAGTTCTTATCGAGTCGAGAAACACGTTGATTCCTTCGATACGAGGGAACGAGGCTTCTCTTCGTTAAGCAAAAAAAAACTTCTTTATATTTCTCGATGCGCAATGCATATTTGTTATTCTTTGAAAAGAAAGTCTCGTTCGTTATCTAATGCGATTAAAGAGGATAGAAGATGTGAGATGATTATGGTATTTATGAGATTACTCGACTTCGACTTTTATCCAAATCTTGGACGAGATATCTGTGACATTAAAGAGATATCTCATTCTTGATGGCGAAGAGATTGAGACTAGCATTGTGAGGATCGAGTCTTCGAAGCTTATCAGCTATGATATATGTTTAAATGTATGAATTGATTAAAGTTGAAGCGTCATGTGTAGATATGGGATAATGGTACAAGTTTACAAGTTGACAATTAAGAATAATTTTAACTATATTTTTATGGTCTTTAGTTTTAATGTAATGTTGATTTTAAATACTTCTTCTATATAGAAAGATAGTTAATTACGTTTCTATTAGAATAAAAGCTAATGATAATTTTTGCCAAAAGCATTTGTGCATCTTTCATAATTGCAAAGTGAAGATGCATTGAAACTCAACTTGATTTGGCTTGGTACAGTTGAAGATGGAATCTTGAAGAGCAACGTTATAAAATTTAAGTTTCAAGTTTGAAAACATAGTTCGAGGCTCTTGGGGTTAAATTATCTAGTAAGTTTAAGCTCCATACGATGTTAGCCTTCAAGATTCATCGAAGCTTCGAAGATTCATGATTCAAGACTAGAAAAATGTTTTATTGATGAAATTTTATTTTAAAATAGTCATCATAGCTTTTAATGTAATTTTTCTTAAAGTCGATTGCCTTTCAAGTGCAAAATGACTCGTTTTAATCTATGAATAAAAAAAAGAGAGAGAGAAAAACAGGATGTTGTCAGATATAATGTAGTGATATGCATGCCAACTGTCTTTCACACGCGCTATCGGATCCATTTTATTATTCAAACTTTTCCCCTAAAAATTGATATATCCAGCTACCTTCCCCATTTCCAATATTTGCACACGACGATCCAAACCTACTTTTTCATATCCTCGCGAATTGGAGAACAAAATTTCAAGTATTATTAAAAGAAAAGAAAAAGTTTCACGAGTACAAAGTTATTCACATATTCATCGCAAGAAGAATTCGGAAAGAAATTTTTAATCCCAGTTGCTGCATTCATTAAAAGATAGGAATAGAAATATTTTTTTCAAAGAAATCCACCTCTCCACTTTCATTGTGCTTCTCGTTCATTCGTGAATTGAATACCAACTCCTCTCAGCTGTATGGAAAAGTAGTTTCGTCCTCGGTAATTTTGTCAACCGGGTTCTAAGGTGGTCGATGCCCTGAATAGATTCTGCCGAAAGGGAACGTGACGGTGAGGTATTCGTACGGCGTGAAAGAGAAGAGCCCTCGTAAGCCCGAGTTCTCGTGGAACTTTCTCGACTGGGAAGAGTGCAACGCGAATTGCGGGCCGGGCGAGCAGATCTCCAAGCCCCGTTGCCTCGAGAAACACGCGGGCATAGTGGATGACACTTTCTGCAAAAGCATGGCCAGGCCGCAGGAAAAAGTGAGACCCTGTTATCGGGCACCCTGTATCCCCAGGTTAGTGTACCCTTTCTTTTTTTTTTTTTTCATTCAAAAATAGTCGACTCTCGAATTGAAATTAAATTATTATTTAATGTGATATTTAAATTTTATCATATTATTTTTTGATACAAAATTCAAAAATAGTCTCTGCTCCTCTAAATTATTATTTGTGATGTTTCTTTTTTTTTTTATCGTATTATTTTTTGATACAAAATTCAAAAGTTTCTGCTCCTCTAAATTATTATTTGTGATGTTTCTTTTTTTTATTATGTTATTTTTGATACAAAATTCAAAAATAGTCTCTGCTCCTCTAAATTATTATTTGTGATGTTTCTTTTTTTTTATTATGTTATTTCTTTGATACAAAATTCAAAAATAGTCTCTGCTCCTCTAAATTATTATTTGTGATGTTTCTTTTTTTTTTTATCGTATTATTTTTTGATACAAAATTCAAAAGTTTCTGTTCCTCTAAATTATTATTTATGTTTCTTTTTTTTTTTAAATTATTTTTATCGTATTATTTTTTGATATAAAATTCGCGTAATAATATTCACATTCAATTTCATATTATAACAATATTATGAACGATTGAATCGCTGTGTCATTAAAAGCAAGTCTGTTTTTACTGGCTCTCGTTAGAAAAAGGATTTTCCAAAGTTAAATTTAAATTTCCACTATTTCTTCACGTATAAAATAAAACGTGTTATTATACCTTTTATTACATATCAAAATAAAATTTGCATAAACACACCACGTTGAAAAGGTAGAGCTTATTCGCGTCCATTTCTGATAGTGAGATGGATAAACATCCGCGTTTCTCGACCTATCGAGAAAAGGATGGAAAGTCGAAAGGTAAATGACGTTGATTCCAGATGGATGATCGGTGATTGGCAAGGGTGCACGTCCTGCACGTTCCGTTGCGAGAACACGCGATCCGTGAAATGCGTACGCCCCGTCGGCCATTCTGAGCAGGATGTGGATATTATCGCCGACAGCTACTGCGAAGGGCCGAAGCCGAAGGAACGGGAGCCCTGCGCCGGCCGGGAGAAACGCAACAACGTTCAAACGCGACGCTCGAAGCGGTGGAAAAGTATATCTATCCTTGTCCTTGTTGTTCCATTCTATTATCGATTTTTCGCGCGTTCGAAGGATGTTGTTTTGTCTATTTTATCTTGTGAAAAATAATCTATGAAATTCTGCCATCCTTCTTTTTTTCTTTTTATACCTTGTAATATCTACGATTAAGTTCTATCTATTCAATACATTTTGAACGTTTGTTATTGTTGAAAAAAAAAACGAAGAGTCGATCGAGAAGAAATTTCAATTTGGAAGGAGGCACGAGGAAGAGGAAGACGACGATGACGACGATGACGACGACGAAGACAGAGAGGAAAAAGAAGAGGAGGAGGAGGAGGAACGAAGAGAAGAAGAGGAGGAAGAAAGAGAAGAGGAAGAAAGAGAGGAAGAAAAGGAAGAAGAAGAGTATAAATCGAGCATTCAAAAGTTAAAGAAGGGCGAACAGGTGATCGACAGCAAGGATATCAGTAATTTAACACTCACCATCATTTTGGAACACGACGCGACCGGTACGTTGATCTTTCCCAAGGATTTTGTCCCCCAACCACCGCCCAACAGCACCGTGTTTACATTGGTTGGAATGGACGCGGTCAAGTACATTCAAAAAATTCAAGAAGACGCCGTGACCGCTTCCAAACAACGTTCTTAGCGAGTTGAACTAATTGAAAAATCGATACGTACATTTATTCGCGTATCCAGAGATCTGTGTGTATTGATCGTTCTACTTATGATTAATTTAACGTACGTGCTAATTATGTACGTTACACGAAATGCATTAAATATCACGTTTCGATGCGAGAGTCGAGCCGTCTCTCTTCCAAATTGAATTAAAAACATTGTCACATTGATGGAGAAATGATCGGTCGTAGATCGTTGTGTTGAATCTGCAATATCGGCCGAGCAGGCGGGAAGATAATTTCGTAATAAATTGAATCGGCGTTAAAATATTAACGGGTCGATTAAAAACGCGATAATATGCCGATAGTAACGGCGCATAAACCGCCCCGGCGCTGTCACTGTTTCATCGGTTGCATTTTGTTTCAATCACGTTGCCGTTCAATTTGCCGTCAGATTACGCACGCTTGCCAGAGAATCGAATTATATCCGACGCGGATCGGATCTTTTCCGATATCCCATTGAATCGAATCGGTGTGTGGTGCACACGCTATTGTTAAAATACAAAGAAAGAAAGAAAGAAAGAAAAGGAAACTCGACGCGTATTTAATATATTATATAATTTAATTAGCTTATCTATATTTCTCGATACTTCTAAATACATACTCTTACAAATACGATACTTTTTTAAAACGCTCTCTTAAACGTTATTCGAATAAAGTATCCATTATTATTATTATCATTATTATAATAATATCAAATAGTTATCGATATTAAGTTATTTAAACTGTACAAAGACAAACTGCACTTGGATTTATCTTGAATTAACTCGAGACAACGATAATACCACGTTTTCAAATTAGTTGAAGTTTCACAGTGTCGGAGGAGAATGGGAGGGGAGGGGGAGAGGGGGAAAAAGAATATTATCTCAATTTTCTTCAACTTCGTTTCTCGAGTCATAAATCGTTTCACGAATATTTAAATACCATATTTCGTTATATTGATCTTCGAAAAAGTACATCATATATATATATATATATCCTTTAAACGAATTTCTCCCATTAATTTTGATTCTGACCCCGATCGCATCAACCAACCAACCAATTCGTATTCGAAAACCGCTTATTACGTTATCAACCCTACAATTCCCCTAGAATCTTAATCCTAATCCCCATCCTGCTGCTACTGCACGTCACGAAATCGTCGAAATCAAAACGCTTCTCTTTCTTCTGCGATTCTCGACCTCTACGAGCCGAGAGTGGCATTCTTCCACGTCTTGAAGTCGGGTGGCCGCGTGACACCCTCCATCTCCTCCATCACCCTGTACGCCTCGGTCCCGTTGAACACCTTGATGCGCGAGGTGTCGAGGCCGCCCCCGATGCTCATGTCGCCGATCTGCTGGTAGGCGAGGTCCGACAGATTCGCTTGCAGGTCCTCGATGACGAGGGGCGCTTGCATCACCATCACTTTTTCCACGGGGAGCGAGTCCTTGATGATCGCGCCGGGCTTCGGCGTGGGGAAGTCGTTTATGCATGACGTCGCGCGCTTCCTCTTCCCCTCCTCGGCGAGGGACCACTCGCGGAGTAACTGGCGGAAGTCGGCTATCCCCGCTCCGCCTCCATCTCGCTGATCTCGCGTGGAACGCCGTACGCCCTCTCGAGGTAGCGGGCCAGGCTCAGGTCCACCGCCTTGTCGATCAATCGGCCCTGCTCCTCGGCCGGAAGTTTCGCCTGCTTCTTGTTCTTCTTCCCGTCCCGCTCCGTGTTCCGTGTCTTCTTCGTGCAGATCTTCTTGCACGGCCTCTTGCCTGCCATCGGGATTTGAAAATTATTTCTTCTGAATGTTTTTTTTTATTTTTATTTTTTATTTTTATATTTTTTAATTTTATATATATTTTTTTTTTATTCTCTTAGAGAGCAAGTTGCGATCTTGGGATTTTAGAGTGATTATGATTTAGGAGTGAGAAATTGGTAATCTTTTGGCTGAATGAAATTTTTCGATTTTTTTTTACGAGTTAAAATGGTGGATGTATCAAATGATTTTATTTATTGGATTTGAAGTTAATTTTTTAGCAATGGAATTGTGATCTTGGGTCAACTATTTTATGTGTTATTCGAGTTTTCATTTATTATTGTAATTGTAATCTTGAGATTTTAGAGTTCATGATAAATATAGTGATTCGATTAGACTTTAAGATTTGGCAATAAAATCGCGATTTTTCGAGTTTGAGTTATATACCAAACGATTCGATTGGATTTGAAATTAAATTTTTAGTGATGTAATTTAATCTTGGAATTTGAATCTATAGCAAATATGAGAAATAACAGAAATTTAGAAATTTTTCTAAATTTTTTAGTGATGGAATCATGATCTTGGAATTCAATTCAGTGGATAAGAGTGATTCTATTGGATTTGACATTTTGTTGTTTTTTTTATTTATTATTAAAAATTTGATAATATCTTAATAATGAAATTGTGACTTTTTGAAATTTGAGCGAATGTGCCAAATTATAGCAATCGAATTGAATTTTGAAGATTTTCTTAAAAATCAAAATATATGTATCTTTGATGCCCAAATACAATATAGATAGATTTTTGAATTTAGAGAAGAAAAGTTTGGAAGCTTTAAATTTCGCAGAGAAATAAGAACGACAAGGAAAGTGTTGCTCATTCAACGCGATTTGTGCATATTTTCTCATCCACTCTCGGCCACCCTTTTCTTTTTCATCGCAGTGTCAATATTTTATTTCCATTACACCGTAAATCTTTCCCTACACGTATGTATATCACGCGCCTACGTATATTTACCAATACATACAGCAAAATGGAAAAATAATATTTTCGAATGTCTACAGTGAGAAAAAAAGTTACTGCGAATTGCGCGCGTTTGCACATTTTCAAAAAGGCACTATTTCATTAAAACGACAAATGCAATTATAAACGTACGCGATATTTCGATGCAGTGCACGTTTCCTTAACCCATTCCCTTTGAATTAATAAAACAATAGAATTTTTTTTATTAAATTAAAGAAAAAGAGAGGGAAAACATTAATTAAATCATCAATTTTTATCGATAAATTTCAGATCCTTTTAATAATTTAAACGCCAAAATAAAGAAAAAGAAAAAAAAACACTAAATCATCTTGTCAATTAACTTTAATCGATAAAAAATATTTCTAGCAAAGGAAGATTATTTGGTAAAATTTCGGATCCTTCCAACGATTTATAATTTAAGTGTCAAAATAAAGAAAAAGAAAAAAAAATACTAAATTACTTTGTCAATTAATTTAGATAAAAAATATTTCTAGCGAAGAAAGATTATTTGGTAAAATTTCGGATCCTTCCAACGATTTATAATTTAAACATCAAAATAAAAAGAAAAAGAAAAGGAAAAATTACTTTGTCAATTAGCTTAGATAAAAAATTTATTTCTGGCAAAAAAATACTATTAGTAAAATTTCAGATCCTTCCATAGACTTATAATTTAAACATCAAATTAAAAAAAAGAAAGAAAAAAAATCTAAAAAAAAAAAAAAAACTAAATCACCTCGTCGATTAACTTAGATCGACAAAAAAACATAATTTACAAACGAGATGGAGAAAAAAAGGTATCGATGCGCTCACCTACGCACTCCTCTTTTTGTTTGGGCACGCGACCTTTGCACGCGTCCAGATTCGCTTGAATGTCATCCTGGCCCGCGATCGGCGCGGGTCGTATACATTGCACCTTTCGATGCCTCGTTCCCTTCTTTCCGTCGCAGGCGCTACACTTGCTCCACTGACTCACGCGCCACCTTTTAAAAACACGACGATTACGATCATCCAATTTTGAAACAATTTATGATACTCTTCGTTTGGCGAGACACGTACTTGGCAGGACACGCATGCGTGTTGCACACTCGAGTTTTCGGCTCTGGCCGCGGTATCCCGTTGCAAAAGCTGGACACCACCTTTCCTCCGTATTGCTCGATGCACGTTGGCTGCGAGATCTAAATCGTGTATGTCGATGTGTATATGTATTTGTGAGGAGGAGAAATGAAAAAAAAAATTGCGAAAGGGCAATTAGCCTTGTTGAAACAAGGAAGAGGAAATGGAATGATATATTCGATACACAACAACGTTTCTTTTATCATTTCTTTTATCATTAAAAGAAAGATACGCGATATGATGCACAAAAGATATAAAATAGTGCAAAATATTACGATATTCAAAGAATCGGATTTCTTGTGAAAATTCCAGTATCTATCGACACACTCGTTTCTTTCGAGATTAGCAAGATAATCGCGTTGAAACGAGATCAGATCGTCGACCAATTGAACATAATCGATACACGAAATACACATTTCGATATTCCTATACAATGGAAGTAAAACATGCATCACACGCGCTCTACTAATAACGAAATTGTTTCCACGATATTGTAAATTGATCACGAAACGATAATTATTTCGTTATATATATATAATCGGATAATGAAAATTACCATGGTTCCACCTGCGCATCTGACGCTGCACTCGGACCATTCAGTGAAATCCCAAAGATATTTAGGCTTGTACGCGTTATCGGTCGACATCACGTAATACAAGTAATGAACCCCGAATATGTTACCTTCCAGCATTAAATACTGAAAAAAAAAAAGAGATTTTAACCGATAGTTCGAATTTTTCGAAAGGAAAAATCGCAGATCTCGAACGAACCTGAAATTCAAGATCCTCGCTGATGGGTCCTTTTATGAAAATTTCCTCCAGATTTTTATCAGGTCTTATGTACATAAGGATGCTATTCGCGCATTGGTAGTCACCGGCTCTCTCTATGACGCTACACGTGAAATTCGATATTATCGTCTGTTTTGTCCGTAATTCAAAGATTCGAATAGAAATAATAGAGATGAAAAAGAAAATTCGTCGAGGTGAGGAAAAAACTTACAAATCTTTGTTTAAACAATAATTGTTCGTATTGGCGATTTTCACTGACAAATAGTTCGGATGAGGGCCCAATTCCTTCACGCTTATACTTCGAGCACCCTTGGGAATA